GAAACTAACAGGTTTACTCCTGATGTATAGAAGTGTAGGCAATGACAGAATCGCACACACTCAGCGTTCACCTGACCTTTTTCTTTGATGAAAATTAGATTTTGAGGAAGGGAAGTCGGCCATTGCACTCCCAAGCCTTCTTTCTAGCTTTTCCACACTTTATGCAGACACTATGTACCCCTAGGAAATAGTGTATCTTCATCTCTGTTAGGGGAAGTAATACTGAAAGCACAGGATAGCATGCCAGCCAGTCCTCAACAACAGTTTCTCCTTCTTCAAAAACTTGCTTATTAAAGTGGAGTGACAAAAACAAACTCATTACAGCTCTGTCTTGACCTACTAATTTTTATCTTTTTGTGAACAAATATTCTGCATTTTACACTGAGAATGGAATTTGCTTCTATTCCATGAGAATTCAATCTGCCAGCTTGAATTTTTGATTATTTTTTCTTACTGCAAGGAAAAAGGAAGTGCTGTAGTGTCGGAATCTGGAAATACAGTATAAAATCGGTTCTCTCCAATTTTCTACTTGTATATGTCCAAAGATGTGTTTTTGTGATCCATAAGTGCTGCTTAGAAAATTTCTTCAGAAAACCTTCTATTTTTGCCTCCTTGTCCCAGAGATGGTCATTTAAAGACACCATCCATCTTGTGGAACCAAGCTGCAAATGTGCCTTAGGGGGAAAAAATGTTGTCCTGAACACTGTGGGCTGGGAAATGGGTGTACTTACATAGCAGGTCATCACGTATTCCTAAAACATATTTGCAGTGAGAATACAGAAGATGTGCATGGGGACCTAATTCTTTCTCCTCCATTATGGCCTTCATGCTTTTCCCTCTTGCAAAACAAGCATAATCATATTTGTGGTTTTTCTTACTTTTCACTGGAGCAGATTGTGGTGCCTGGGTCTAAATCCCTAGACACTAGCATTTTAGTTATATGAGGTTCTGTATTGGCATTAGAATTGTCTGAAAATAAGTACATTAAAAATTATATGTTCTACTAGTACAAAGAGAATATGCAAATAAATCCATCTAATTATAAAACCCTTATTCACTTAGAAACATGATGTTGAGAAAAGCACCCTTGTGAAAGGAAGAAAAGCAACCGTCATTTGTCCCAGACAGTAAGACTGTCATAATCCCACTCCCACTGTAAGCAGCAGCTGGTTTCCTAACTTTCATAAAACCTGGATCCTCAGCTGAGAAGGACAGATGTCTGTAGTCTCCTTCCCAGCCCCTCACCAGCACAGCAGGGAAAAATACCTCCTCCCACCATACGGACTGTAAGATGTTCTTGCTTCATTTGCAGCTAGAAATTGCCTTCCCTCCTGCTGGATAGTGCATCTTCCTTGGGGAATTTGTTCTACTTACGGCATTCTGTCTCTTAACCTTTAGCAGGTTGCCACAAAGGAGAAGACTCTGTTATATAAAACTTCATAGAGGAGTACCGAGAGTGTGTGAGAAAATGAAAGAAGACTAAAAGGACACTGACTATCTCATTAAATGTTTTATAGGGTGCCCTTCGGACAAACGATCCTTCTCAAAAGTCAAATTGTCTCCACTCCCCTCCCCCCCGCCACCTTCTTAACGAGCATTTGATTAAGTGTGTTCAGCCATCATTTTAACCTGTGGCTTTCCTAAAAATAGCTTCCAATCTGAAGATAACACCTTTTCCTCCCACCTACGCACACGCGCACGCACACACATGCACGCACGCACACACATGCACACACTTTTACCTGTTCCCATGGAAACCCTACTAGAAAAATGTTTGCACGCCAGCCATGTTAGAGATAACTTTTCCATGAAAATATAAGGCAACTTGTATGTCATAGGAAAATGCTGCAAATGCTTTATTGTTTTTGTTGCATGCAGTCCACTTACCTGAGCACCAGTATGGCAAGGCGTATTTTGCCTCCCACCACTAAGGAGGAGCAGAATGGTGCTCTGCGTGTCAGGGCAGAGCCCCTGGTCCCTATGGACAGATCTCCCCTGCCCTGGAGTACTCACACCGTTGGTATCAAATTTAGCAGGATATGAGTCTGAGCAGCCGTGCGTTCTTGGTCTCGGACTATGATTCTGGGCTATATTAAACATACCTGTTTTGGAGAGAGAGAAAGTAGACGAGATTAGAGCAGCCTTTGTTGTGAGGCCATGATATATTCCAGCATCACTGGTATTTGTTTGGTTGATTATTAAAAATACATTTTCCAAAGCCCAAAGTTTTTTTTCAGTTGCCACACTCAGAAGTAAATGCCTGCATCTTGTTTGCCAGTATAACTCTTTATAACTTAATGAGAATGGTGCTGCCATCTAAAGGGATTCATCTTTACTTTCCCAAGGCTACTCAGTTCCCTATTCCACATTTTTTTCTGCTGTACACCACTTTGACTTACTTGAAAACTAGGCCAGTGAAAAACATCTTGAAGAGAAAAGCTTATCCTTGAGATGTATCTGCACCACTCCGTAGCTGTTACTTCTCCTGGTGGCCAGACTGCAGTTTTGACTATTGCGTTCTGAGTATTTATTTCTTTGCCAGTTCCCTGGAGAGTGCTGGCAGTAACACAGGCATAAAATACCTGCATATAAGCTCCAGTGCTGTGCTTTTCCAGTATTTTTGCAAGATCCCAAGAGGATACAAACAGCAGTAGCAGAATTTGGAGCAAATAACTACCTGATCCCCGCTCCTTCCCATAGGCTCCACTCAAAAGGTAGCTCTTTTCAGTGAGTTCACAGTGCAGAGAGGATTAATACGAATTAGCTGCCCTGAGAAGAGTATCCATATATACAAAACGCATTCTGAAAGCTCAGGGATTTAATTTTACTGCCTGCTTGAATTTTACTCAAGAATTCATGAGGAATGATGTTTCTGGCCTAGTTACCCCATAGAAATTGCATAGTACTGTACTAGCTCGCCTCCTTTCACATTTTTTTTTCTTCCAAATGAGAGCTAGGAGAAGATAAATGAGCAATTCAAGTTACAGACAATAAACAGAAAGCAGGGACTTGAGGCTGTTCACAGTAGGGCTCCAATTGCCTTTGTCCTCTGCCTTTCTAGTGAAATAAATTAATGTGAAATTTGCTATTCTAAAGAAAAAATCTATCTCAATTCTGAAAATCAGTGCTTACCTCTGAGGCAGGTAACATTCTGAGACATAATTTTTTCTTGATTCACTCATTGTGAGAAGTTGTGTTGTGCAGACCTCTTCACTTGCAAGAAGAAAAAAATACTCAGCAGCCTTTTGCAGCACTATCAGACAGAGAAGGAAATTACCTTTTTAAAGATGGTACAATATCTATACTTAGTATAAGCACATTGACCTGCAAAGAGTTCCTGTCTGCAGTTTCCTTTTGTCTGGAGTCCTAATGCTAATTCTGTATTGATTAATGATATTAGAAGTCAAAATGCACAAGACATGTACAAGCATGAGAATTTATAGCTCAGCTCTTTAGCTTGGTTGGGCTAACAGTATAATCCTCAGAATATAATATTTATAATTATATGCTATAGCTGTTACACAATACAGACTATTTGGTAAATAGAGACAGATCCAATATTTCAGATAAATTTGAGGTGGTTCATTGCACTTGTTTTCCATTTGGTCCTACTGTCACGAAAAAGGTATAAAAATGCAGTTTGATGTTGTGCCAGAAAAGCAACTGTTTTTCCAAGATAATAGGAGTGTAAGCAGCCTTGAGGACAATGATTTTCTGATGTTTGCTGGAAGCAACGACTGCATTGTGACTTTGGCAGATGATGTTTGCTATAATCTGCTGTTTATAAACAAAACAGTTATTGATGAAATGTCACCATATGTCTGTACTGTTTATAGAGTGTGAAACACACCATCATTTCCTCTGTTTGGAAAAATTTTCTTGGGAGAGTGGGGAAAGTTGTCAGAGCAGTCCTGAGCAAACCAGTAAGAGATTTCTTCTGTGGGATTACAGGCAAGTATTAGACAGATGTTCTTGGATGAAGAGCTTGTGAGAGATGGAGTGACAAGAGATTTGGGACCTTTTTTATTGTTTGTAAGGAGTTACATAGAAGAAGAGTTGAAGTATCAAGATTAGGTTTATGAATATATGTAGGTTGGTTTAAAAGAAAAGAAATTTTTTTTGCAGATGTATAAATGAGAACATAGAGCAAGTCAACACTTCTGATCTTATTTCTTGAAAGTAAGGAATCAAAACTCGTTTAGAGTTGGTGGGGTTTTTTTGTACTTTAAGTATGTACCTCATTAACCTTGGACAATATGCAAAGGGTGCATTTTCCTATTAGATAATTAATTGTCATTATTGATTAATATGTCCTAGGGTACCACATCCATCCCATTTAGGCATGAGTCTACATACAGTATTCAGCACTGCAAATGCATATGTTACAAAAAGAAAAACCCAAGCACAAGGAAGAAAAAATAAGGATACAATAAATAAAGAGTGGAAAGAATTATGAGAGCTAATGAGAATTTCATATAAAGCCATTAATGACTATTGTATGTGAAGATCTAAAGCAAGTTATATCTAAAACTTTAATGACTGGTTAAGGGATCAGGAGCACAAGTAGTGTTCTCTGTCCTTCCAGTTGCAGGGAGCAATAGAGAAAGGAAGAGCCAGCAGATCAATATGTGGCTCCGGGACTGGTGTCACCAGCAGAATTTTGGTTTTTTTGGTCATGGATTGGTCTATGTGACACCAGGCCAGCTGGCAAAACATGATGTACACCTGTCTCAAAGGGGCAAAAGAATCTTTGCAGAGGAGTTAGCAGAGCTCATTGAAAGTGCTTTAAACTAGATTTGAAGGGAAAAAGGGAAAACTCAGGCTTGCTAGACCTAAGCCTGAGGGTAATATGCCAATGTTTCAGGGACAGACAGTGTGCTGGCAAGGTCTTTCTGTCTGCTCCATGATTTGCTGAGTACACTGGAGCACATGCAGACAGCACCCTAGCCATCTCAGTGGATGAGGGGTGAGAAGATAGAGATGCACACATCAACGAAGACATGAGGGTGGTTGATGCTTTAGAAACCACGGAAGCATCTGAGAATGGTCACATAGGAATTAGGGCTTCTCCTCCAAAAAAGATGCCAGGATCAATAGCCCAACTGAAGTGCCTCTACACCAATGCACGCATCATGGTGACAAACAGGAGACGGTGGAAGCCATCATGCAGCAGGAAAGTTATGATATAGTTGCTATCACATAGCATGGTGGGATGACTTGCACAATTGGAGTGCTGCAGTCAATGGCTATAAAGTCTTCAGAAGGGCTAGGCAAGGAAGGAGAGGTGGTGGGGTAGCCCTCTATGTCAGGGAGTGTTTTGACTGTCTAGAGCTTGATGATGGTAATGAAATGGTCGAGTGTTTATGGGTGAGAATCAGGGGAAAGTCCATTAAGATCATGGTGACAGTCTGTTATAGACCACCTAACTAGGATGAAGAGGCAGATGAAATATTCTGTAAGCAGCTGGGCGAAGTCTCACCATCACCAGCCCTTGTTCTCATGGAAGATTTCAACTTAGCAGATGTCTGCTGGAAATACAATACAGGAAAGAGGAAACAGTCTAAGAGATTCCTGGAGTGTGTGGAGGATAATTTCCTGGCCCAACAGGTGAGTGAACCGACTAGAGAAGGTGCCTGCTGGACTTTTTGTTTGTGAACCGAGAAGGATTTGTGGATGATGGATGGTTGGAGGATGTCTTGGGCACAGCAATCATGAAATGATAGAGTTTTTGATTCTTGGAGAAGTAAGGAGATGGCTCAGCAGAAGAGCTAACGTGGGCTTTCAGAGGACAGACTTTGGCCAGTTTAGGGGCCTTGTTGACAGAGGCCCTTGGAAGGCAGTCCTCAAGGGCAAAGGAGTCCAGGAGGGCTGGGCATTCTTTGAGAAGTAAATCTTAAAGGTGTGGGAGCAGGCCATCCCCATGTGCTGTAAGACGAGCCAGCAGGGAGGAAGACCAGCCTGGCCGAACGGAGAGCTTTGGCTGGAACTCAGGAAAGAAAAGGAGAGTTTATGACCTTTGGAGAAGGGGCAGGCAACTCAAGGATGTCATGAGGTTATGCAGGGAGAAAATTAGAAGAGCCAAAGCCCAACTAGAACTTAATTGTAGAAGGGTAATAAAAAATATTTCTATTAATACATTTGCTACAAAAGGAGAGCTAAGAAGAATCTCCATCCTTGATTGGATGCAGAGGGAATGATAGTGGCAAAGAATGAGAAAAAGGTTGAGGTACTTAATGCCTTCTTTGCCTCAGTCTTTAGCAACAAGACCAATTGTTCTCAGGGAACCCAGCCCCCTGAGCTGGAAACAGGGAAGAGGAGGAGAATGAAACCTCCCCCACAATCAAAGGGGAAATGGTTAGCAATCAGCTACACCACTTAGGCACACACCAGTGTATGGGTCCGGATGGCATCCACCCAAGGGTACCGAGGGAGCTGGCAGAAGTGCTCACCAAGCCACTTTCAATCATTTATCATCAGTCCTGGCTAACCATGAAGGTTCCAGTTGACTGGAGGTTGGCCAGTGTGATACCCATCTACAGGAAGGGCCAGAAGGAGGATCTGGGGAACTACAGGCCTGGCAGTCTGAGCTTGGTCATTATGAAGCAGATCATCTTGAGTGCCACCACATAGGACATACAGAATAAGCAAGCAATCAGGCTCAGTAAGCACGGGTTTATGAAAACCAGGTCCTGCTTGGCTAACCTGAGCTCCTTCTATGAAAAGGTGACCTGCTGGTAAAGGCTGTGGATGGTGTCTACCTTGACTTTAGTAACACCTTTGACGTTTCCTCCAGCGTCATACTGGAGCCAATAATTTCTGCCAGGAAGAGTACTGATGTGTTTAATAACTATCTTGAACACTTAGGATTAATACTGTTTGTATTAATATAAGTAAACTGTTCCGTTCTATGTTCATTAGCATATTCTGAGCAATCCTTTCAGACAAGCCTCAAAATGGACTTGGAATTGTAGGAGAACCATGATTGTCTTCAGGTTTTCCTTGACTATAGTATGACCTGTGTTTTTTGTGACAGCAGTTAAATTCAGGTTCACATGAAATTTTGTGTAAATATTGGATTATCATCAGAGTTCACAACGTCAACTAATGCAGCTTTCCCGTATGTTCCATCTAGTATTTTTAAAGTTAATTAGCTACAGAGTTGTAGCAGGGAATGAGTTTGGGGGTAGGACTCATTTGCATACAGATTGGTAGGTAGTAGCACCTGAGCTGGCCTGGACAAATGGATATTTTTGCATCGTGGTGGCAGGTATGTCATAAATGAACAGAATATTCTCCACTTCTGATGGAGCATGTGGAGGTCAAGTGAGATACCAGAAGTTATCTAAAATGGCACTACTGTATTTGTATTCAGGCAACTGAATTCCTGTGTGTTTATCATGTTATCATTATGTTTTTCTCCTTAGCATTGCAGAAGAGACTCATACTGAACATTGCAAGTACTGAGTTTTCATCATACAGGCTAAAATAAATCAAAACTACAGTTTCAGTATTAGTTTCTGCAAAATGTGAGAATGCATATTCAGAATGCATATTCAGAGAGGCTGGAGTCACAGACAGTGCACGCAATCTCTGCCATAAATCTGTGCTGAGTCATTTTATATCACTGCTGCTTAGTCCAGAGCATGACACTCACATTTGTGTGGTTTTATAGCTGCCACAATTATTTCCCTTTCATGTCTTCAACCTCAGTGGATAGTTCAGCATTGCTTTGAAATTCATGGAAGCTGGATTTACAAATATGTTGAACTTCCTTACTTCCTCTGATTTTTTGAAGGTCAGCATCTGAAAATCAGATTTCAAATTTCATACATTAGAGTCAGCATCTGAAAATCAGATGCGGATTCTAATTTATGAAATAGGAAATGGAGATCCAGTCCGTAGTATCTGTAATGCATCCTGGAGTTAAACTAGGAAGAAAAAGGGTTTTTCCCTGCTCCACTGTGAGCTTGAGTTTGGCTTTCTATTTTGTTGTCTTGGGGAGAGGGAGGAGGTAGTACAACCTGAAGATGCAAAGATCTCAAGCAGATTGATCGAGGTTTGTCAGGAGACACCTAGCAATCTCCGTATGTAATTCTTAGTGGTCCTTTGCTACAGCCACTCACGTTGCCTGTGTACTAGTGCTAGCCCAGTGCTGTTTGACACAGACACAGACCTGAATGGGGCCCTGCTTTGAAGTATGGTGTGTACGGGCACAGTGCAGCATGAACCAACTGAGGTACTAATTTTTGTACAATTTGCAGACTCGTGCAAACTCAGACTAATGTAAAGCTTTTGTTGTGATTAAATACAGTTGTTAATCATGGCTAATCTCTAAAGATGGCAATTCAGGAAGTACTCTGCCACTCAGTGCTGTTTATGAAGCAGTCATTCATGGAGCTTTATTCCAGCTGAGCCCGCTGCTGGAATTATACAGAGGCCACTCAGAAAGAGTTACCTAGGCAACCCTTCAATTTGTCCTTTTGTGCTCAAATTTTACCTCAGTCGTCATATTTTAAAGTTAAGCATCCATCTCAGATTGATTTTCCCTCCCCAGCAGCATCTACCAGAATGATAAAGGAATAGATTTGGTTTTCAGGAAGTAGTCCCACAAACTCCTATACCAGCCCAGTCCCCCAAAAGTCAGGCTGCGATAGACTGCAGCAGTGGAGTATAGATCATCTGCCTGCTTTGGTAAAGAGCTGAAAGCTGAAGGCAAAAGCTAGCGTCATAAGCTGCTCGGGAACCTCTTGGCTACTACATGGTGTGTGACAAATTGTGCCTATGTACATTTTTTAAATCTTTTAATGATTATACCTGTTGTGACCTGTTCACTTTACTGTTGTCTTACTGTCATGAAACTTGGGAGTTTCACAAAGTGCAGCGGTGAACAAAATACTGTCTTCTGTTGACATCAACACATAACTGTCAGAGTAGCTGCAGGCTGTCAACATGTCAGGAGGTAAACAGGGATTTGCTTCCAGCCCATTGGTGTCAGGTGATACCATCATGATGGAAGAGCCTGAGCTAAGACCTGGACTTGCTTTTCTAGGTATGGATCAGTTCAGGTAGCTGAGTAGTTGAACAATTCAGGAATTCATAATAGTGGATTAATTAAGACCTGTTCTTCTATCAGAATTAGCAGTAAGTAGAAAATGTTACAAACACCACCAACACATGATGACATTTCATCAATTACTCTTTTGCTTACAAAAAAATAACAGATGTGGTCATTCAGATGACTGCTTCTTACAGCATTGTCACAATGTTTACATAAGCAATCTTCAGACAGGGCAGCAGCTGACAACAAACCTGTATTATGAATCTGTAGTAAGGGTAGTTTGCACCCTGCAGAGGACTGAATTCTCAATTACTACCTTTTTGCTAAAGAAGAAAACAAGAACACTACATGAAGAAATAGTTGTATGCCTCTCATGGTCTCAAACAAACAGTTTTCACCAGGCACTCTTTTTTTGGACTTCCTCAGCTTTCACTGAGCTCTTCAGGAATCTTACCACAAGCTCACAGGGTTTGCACGACACACATCTGTGTGAAAGAACCATTTAGGGCATTTTTTCTGTTGCCTTATTCTGTGGTGTATCATAACTCCATGTGTGGTTCTGGAGACATTGCCTACCTATACTAAAACTTTAAAAGTTATTTTAATATGTGCACCCAAAAGGCTGGATCACGCTCACTTTGCTTTCTCTCTGTGGCAGTCTGAGAGGGCTCCATTGTGTTAGCAGAAGCAGTCTAACGAAGGAGATGTGCGTGACAGTCAAATGTTTTTCTGTTGTGGGAGAAAGTACCTATACACCTACTCTGTAAGAGAGATGAGCAGCATACACATAAAAGAAGACTAGGTTTTGATGGGAAAATCGGCTACACAAGTAGGAGAAGAATGTCTTCTCTTTAGTTTTAGCACCACGTTGTTAAGACTGCCATGTTGTGGCTGGTCTCAACACGAGAGGTTCAGGCTGGAGGTAAGGAGAAGCCTTATCTCCACGAAGGCAGTCCAGTGGTGGACACGGGCCCCAGGGGGGTTGGATCACCTCCATCCTTGGTGGTTTTACAGCTCAACTGGGCCGAGCCCTGACCAGCCCAGTCTGATCCCCCCAGCTGAGTAGTGGAGCTCCCCAGGTGCCTGCCAGCCTGATTTACCCTATGGTCCTATGAACATGAAAATACATACATATATCTCTTAAATAGAATTAATTTATTCACAAAAGCTTAAAAAGTTAGATATATGTGTACACATACATATGCACATACATACATTTCTATTTATATGCACATATATGTTTGTGTGTACACACACATACATGCACATGCACACCTCTATCGCTATCCCTGTCCCTCTCCCTGTCTCTATGGGGCCAGGCTTAATGCAGTCCAGACCATTTTTGATCCCTGACTAGACTTGCCCACATCCCAAGGGAGATTCTGTGAAAGATGTATCAGAGGTGCAAGGTTCTGCTCCGGGGAGAAGGCACAACACTGGTCTGTGCATCCCAAGGGACCAGCTTCACTGTCAGCATAGCTGCAAACGGACATCCTCAGGGAGCCTGTGCTGCAGAGATACCTCATAGTCTGGGCAAAATCTTTTTTACTGTGTCCTAGCTGATGTTGTTAGGTAGGTGTGGTGTTAACGCAGCGTTTTCAAACCCCATGGGTTCTCAGTGAAACACAGCACAGTCCTCAGGACTCCTCTTTAAAGAAAGAATCCCTAATCTCATTTGTCCACTTCAATATTCTGCTCACTGTGGCTTTTCCTGCAGAATGAAGAGGATGAGGACCAGCCTCTCAGCCTGGCCTGGCCTGATACTCCACGCAAGCAGCTCACCTACCTTCTTGTATTACCCATTGTTTTCCCACTGTGGGCTTCCCTCCCGGATGTCAGAAAACCTGTGAGTAATCGTTGTTGTAAGTTGGTGTCTTCAGCACAACAGGGTGGCTCACTAGCTATATGCCAACAAGGGACTGTGGTGGATTTATGTAAAAGTAGGGCTAATGGGTTTTTTTAATACTTTCTTCTTTGAAGAAGAGGTCACAGCATCAATCTTCCAACCTTCAAATGAGTGCTGATGGGCAGCTTGTTGGTAATAGCTCTATAAAGATTGCCATTCGTAACCACTAATATTTTATGACACAGAGTGAAAGCTCTTGGAACTTCTTTTGGGCCTTCACATCTGTATTTCTAGATCACTGAATATCACATAAGTGATGAGGAAGTCTGTCCATCTGCAGTGCCCTAAAGGTGGACTGGAAAGGTTTTAGACCACCTAAATTTTCTCTGTGGTTCAAAACAATTCTATGCATTTCTCTTAAATACATGTTCCTCTAGACCTTTGTTTTCTACTCGTCATTGTAATTTTCATACTAGAACAAGATTTTTATATTCACATATACAAATAGACCTGACTAGGGAGACTCACGGAAAGTAAAAGAAAAAAAAAAATTCAAGAGCTGAAAAAATCCTTTAGTAGAGTTTTAACCTCTTCTCCTTTCTGTATCAAAAATAGATTTATAACTGCTGCAATAGAGGGATGCACAGCTTATAAGGTTATAAATCAACACCCTGAATTCTTTTTTCCTCCTTACACATACTGAAAAACTTTCCCATCCCACACACTGAAAAATTGCAGTTCAGTGCAAGAAACAAGCTAAAAAAAGATCTTTGATTTGTTTTTAGATAAAGGTTTCTCAGAGGACATGAACTGATATTTTCCTCTCCAATCTTTAAACTTTCTTTTCTTAGTTTTCAAACAACTCTGGTAAATGCTTTCTGTTTGTTAACACAGGGAGTATACTACATGAATTTCAAGATTGTTTGTTTCTGTATTTACTCCCTCTTTTTATCATTCAAGACCACTCTTGTAATTTTTTTTTTTCATAATTTGGCCCAAAATGAGCATGTACTGCTAAGAAATAAGTATGTGCATTATTTTGAATTTTGAAAAATCAGAAATTAACATCAATAGACATCAGTAGCCTTATCCAATATTCTGTGCTGTACAGATGAGAACAGTTGTTGCAATAATGGTTTTGGAAAGCAAATATCTCAAGAAGTTGCCTGCAACTGTATGACGCATGTGATTGTTAACACCAGTATTGTTCACAAGAGAACTGGCATGCTGGCATATTTCAGCTAAAATACCTGGCCGTAACACAAAAAAATCATCAGAGTTGTATGTGCCAGATACATGCCAGATGTGTCAACGGGCAACAGTGTTTTAAAATTTCATTCACTTAAAGGATCAGCTTTATATACAGAAGCAAAAGAAATGTAGTTTGTAATTACATGTTGTAATAACAGAAAGAGGTAACAGGCTGTGTCAGTATGACAAGCTGATTACTTTGAACACTGCTGTCAAATAATTAACCAGATGGTTGCATAAACTAACTTTTCAAGGACGCTTCATTAGTGCATTTGTCTCTACAGTATTCTCACTTATGCCTGTGTGCCATCCCCACTATTCCTTTCCTAACAAAATGAAAACCCAGTATCACAGCTCAGCATGTGCATCAGTAAACAACTTCCCATGAAATCTGTAAGGCAAAAGTTTTAAAAAAAAACACCAAAACAAAAAAACCACACCACACTAAGATAATACCTAAATAGATTTTGTAGATAGGACTACTGTCAGGGGCTTGATTTGCAAGTGTGGTAATTTTAGAAACCCAAATTCTGCATCAGGATGCTCAGATTAGCATGTGGATGTATAAAATAAACACTTGTGTGGTGTATACTGATTTGAGGGACCATATGGAGCCTTTGACATCCACTGTGGGTGTCCACTTTTCAAAAAATGAGTTCTCCATTCCTCCTAGAGTCTCTTTCCTAAAATATATTTTATGTCCACATAATGGAGATGCTTTGACTGCATTTACTTGCACTATACCAAGCTATATTTAGCTCCATGAGAAGCTCTAGAAAAATGATTTCATAGACAAAGTCTCTGGTTATGAAGTTAGCAAAACCCTTGCTGCCTTATTATGCTCTAGTGTACACATGTGCAGATTTTTGTATACTTACAAGTAGATTAGGCATTAGTTCAGCTAACTCTCAGCTGATTCAATAGCTGACATGTTTTAATGTGTGTTTAGTACCTTAATGATGCCTGCTCACATTAAGCCAGTATATATTAAAATCCTTACTATAACATCAATAATGTTGCTGGCAGTACACCGGAGGCAGGTGTGCCCTTGGGGAATTTTTTACTTGACTTTTTGTTCAGGAGTTTTGAACAATAACGGGTATTTTTCCTGTACTAATAGCTTATTTCCCCAGGGCTCTGTAAAAGCCACAGATGTAACTGTCCGCCTTCTGAAGTAAGGAATATTGAAAGATTAGAAGGAAAATTATGTGACCAAGGTGGCCCAGTGGGTCAGAGGCAGATATTGAACACCATCTCTTTACTGCACTGTCCATCCCTTTGCGTTACAGGCCAGAAGAATGGCTATTAGGGCTCAAGTCCTGCTGTCACTGGACCCATATGGGGCCTTTTGTTGTACCTCTGCAAATTCACATTACCAACGGAGAGGTACAACTTACATGAAGTCTTGTTGCCATACAGAGATGCACTGTTACCAAGGGGATGAGGACAAGATGTTCCTGCACAGATCCAGTTACAGGAGCAGGTTCTGAGTAATCAGATTTAAGCACTGACAAGTATGAAAGGCAAATCAAAGCTTGCAGTGCAAATAAATTTATGTACAAGACAAACATATGATTCATTCAGGTTAAGGGAAAAGCAAAGATGTTGGTAATAATACTGGCTAAAATTAAGACAGTTACTTTGCAAATTATTAAGCACTCATTATCTCTCAGGATCAGGCTCTTAGAAGAAAAGCCTTCATACTTGGATCATTCTTGCTCCTAGAAGACCTGTTTTTCAGATGCTGGCATAAAATCAATACAGAAACATACCAAGAAAAATGTCCTCAAAATTGCTGATAGACAGGAATAGAACCAATCCAACCAATCTACAGTGAAACTGCAAAATTCTTTCTCTTTTGTTAAAAGAAAATAGCATATGAGCCGAATGAGCCATGGCTTTTCTCATTTGTCTGTTACCATGACCACAACACAACCAATTGGTAAAATACTGGGCGCTCTGTTTTTACAAGGCAACCATCACAACAGTTACCAGAAAATGTGGGGAGAAGTATTGCTGTCTGGTGTCTCTGACTAATTCTTCTAGGAAAACGCTTGGGATTGGCAGCTTTCTCTATTTCCAAGAGCTAGGGAGTTGCAATGAGATAAATCTCAAAAGGATGCTGTCATTACTTACAAAATAAGCATGGTTATTATTATACTCTGGAAATAAAATCCAGCATCTGTAAAATAATGAGCACTCTTATTACTGCTTTTTAAAAATTACATACATATGCAAAGTATATAGCAGCATCCATGGAGTCCATTCTTGATTTCGTCATCTGTAATATGTACACACTTTAAATTTTGCCCTTTTTGAGTTTAAATGTTCTTCCTTTTAACATAGGTAATTAAACTGTTAAGGCTATTAAAGTACTCTTAGTCTTGAACTGCTTATCAGTTAATTTTACTGGGAGGGGTTTGGCCGAGACAGGCTAGGAATACACATGCTTCAAAGTTATTGAGTCGTAATTCTTAGCCATCTGAATTCTGTGGGTGTCTAACTCAGCTAGGCAATATCCCATTATTTTGCATGAACCATTTGGTATATATTATTGCACTGACAGAGCCATTACTGGCCAGTCCAGCTCTTGCTGTCTTCGTTTTGCATAAGCCAATGTACGCTTGTGTCGTGAGTGTTGTAGAGTGATTATTCAAATTGCATTGCTGTGAGATGCTCTGTGTAGATTTTGTGACCAGCTGCAACAAGCTTATCGCTTCATCATCTCATTCACCATATGTGTTGCCATGAAATCCAGTTTTTACAAGGAAGACAGAAAATGCTGAATGTTGAAACTGTTGGCTAGTAAGAATGGTGAAAATGAAGCGCTAGCTATTTAGTTTAAAAAAAGGAAATTGCAATTTAGATTCATTTTTCCCTTCCAGACTCAGCTCTGCTCTCACTAGTGTCTCATCACTATTTTAATAGCCATCTTTGTGTTCCTTTCAAATTGTGTTCCTTTTTGGATGAAGGTCTTCTGTCCCCCAGTCCATGTAAAGTTTTGAATTAATAGTCTATCTGAGTAGGTTTAAACATCAAAAACTCATTATCAGATTTTATGATTTTAAAAAGAAGTAGAACTCTGTTTTGGAAAAGTAACTCTGTTTGCTCCATGAAGAGTTAAGAAGCAGATCAACCCCAGTACCCTGAGCAGTTCCAGATAGAGTGCACGTGGCTGTAGTGGAATTTATATGAAAAGGATGTTTCCAAGTGCCATTGTGGCTATTTATGCCTGTATTTAAAGATAATTCATTTAAAACACATACTGGAATGGTTTTCTTCTTCCAACAGAGGTAATTTATTTATATATGAGGGGGTTTGGGAGCACTGTTACGTCCGTACCGTCTGTAACGTGTTCCTATGTACATTCAGTGGTGGAGTTCTATAGGGGGTGTTAGCCAGTGCTTACCAGCCCGGTTTTCAGGAGGGCATTTGGCTTTATGCAGAGTGCCCACAGGGAGTAGGTGTTCTGTAGCACAGCCTACAGCTGCACCTGCTGCCGGACCCTTTAATTGTCCCGTCCTCAAGAGGAGTGTGCACAATTGGCATTGCTGACTTTACTCTTTTTCTGTCAGTAATGATCTGATCTCATTCCATTTGCATCAGCAGAAAGATTCTACACAATTTCAAAGAGCTGCGGACCGGCCTCGCTCTTTTCTGTTTCAGCTGACAAAAGACTGTGTCATTCCCACATGACCAGCTCCCATGGCCAGCCCAAATCATGGGACACCTCTCAGTCCACAACCGCCCATGCGCATCAGTTCCTAAATGTGAGGATGTCCCATATAAACACCTCTTGTGCCTGTTATACAAGAAAAGATGGCTGTGCAGCCCTGTAAGCTCCCTGAAAAACAGGGATTTAGCATGGCTTGAGCAAGGTGAATTGGCAAAATCCAAACAGTATTTTCTCTCCAAAAGTCATGTTCAGGGAAAGCTCTGCAGTCGTGTCTGCTCCCACAACACCTAGGAGAGACCCACAGGCTAGTAAGTCTCCTGATGCAGCAGGGGCACGTCCTGCAGTGGAGAGGGGTACAGGCAAGGCGCGCCACCCAAAAAATTTTGGAGGCCCCTGCAGTGCAAAAGGTAGAAGTGGATTTAGCAAGGATTTAACAGGGAAAGGTAGTGCAGGATCAAGAAGCAGCTGGAACGAGTATTCAGAGTGGTATAACTTACTTCCACAAGCAGCCCTACTTATTATTCATGGAAATTTGTAGGGCTCTGCCAGTGGCATGTCAAAAGTCATCTAGGGTGAAGATCATCAAGGGCCTGTAGTGACAGGACAAGGGGTAACGGCTTTAAATTGAAAGCAGGGAGGTTTGGATTTAGATATCAGGAAGAAGTTCTTCACGGAGAAGGTGGTGAGGCACTGGAACAGGTTGCCCAGAGAAGCTGTGGATGCCCCATCCCTGGAAGTGTTCAAGGCCAGGCTGGATGAGGCTTTGAGCAACCTGGTCTAGTGGAAGGTGTCCCTGCCCATGGCAGGGGGGTTGGAACTAGATGGTCTTTAAGGTCCCTTCCAACCCCAACTATTCTATGATTCCATGATCTGTGTTCAGAAGGTTGATGCCCATAAAGACTGTGGTTTCATTCAAGATCGGTGGCATTCATTCACAGTGCAAATTTCTTTTTAAACATTAATTTGATTTAGAGAGTGATTGCTTGGTAAAGTACTGCAGTCGTGTTTCCTTCCTGTAGTAGTTAACTTGGTATCTATTTGCTACATAGATCTCGCCAGCCAACAGGAAATAGGGATGATGCAGAAGACTGGAAAGGACAGAAACCAAAATAAATCATTAATCTGAATATAACCCATTCACTGTGTGCAAGAACATTATCCAGTCAAAGTTTGACATTAGTAAGGGTGACACTGAAGATGAAAATGAAGTTAGCTTGGTGTTACTCAGATTTTTTTTAATTCATTGAAGGGCCTCAGAGTACGTTTTACATGTTTTTATACAAACTTCTCTACAACACAAAGCATGGTGAATCTGTGCTTAATGTATCTTCTGTTCCAATTGAGAAAGTGGGTTCTTTTCCCTAGAAAAGTAAATGCCCTGGTAGATTTTAGGTGTGTAGTTTTTCAGCTGTGTCATAGGACGGCCTTTGTTATACTGACTGAAAGGTGCTGCACAAAGTTGTTCATGCATGAATGAAAGTTATGGGTGCCTGTTTGAGCAATTTGAAAACATTCTTTCTGACTAAGCATGAAGTTGTTAATAAATTTACGAGTCAAGCCACCATTTAGCTAAACACATATGCAAATGTTGGCATAAAGGAGTATAATACAAATGACAACCTAAAACCTGCCACTCATCATACAGGTCATTAGGACGTGTTGTTTTACAACTGAAAGGGTTGGAAGATAGAGGCATAGGTAAGTGTATACCAGTGTAGGGAGTCTGTTTCTTACCATTCTTGACATGAATTTTGATAATCTGCTGATGATCAGAATAGTTGGTCAGAACAGGCGATCAGAATAAATGGGAGGCCACTCTCATTCTGAGAAGCAAGTAAGAGTACAGCAACGTCAGTTTTCAACACAGGTGTTCACTCTTTCTCTTTGCTTCTGTTTCAGAGGTCAAGAAAGTTTTTTCCTATCACCTTTTTTGGGTCTATCAGCTGGATTGCGTTTTTTTCTTACTTAATGGTCTGGTGGGCACATCAGGTAAGGAGGTGATACTGATACAAAATACAAGCCCTGCATTGTGTTTTGCACTGTGAGAGGTCGTTTAGAATCAGAACCCATCATCTATCTCATGCTAAGTAGTGCTTTATTTTAGGAGCTGCAACCATGGATGAAGTAAATCACTACTCAGTAGACGGAAAGTAGATCAGAGAGTTGTGCTTGTCCTGACCACAGGACTTGATCGTTCTGGTAACATCAGAACCATCACCAACCACATATCAATACCTACTGGTTCTGTTTGACAATCTTATCTTGCCCCTGAAATGTGTAGAAATCTGTGAAAACAAGTAATTCTTCAGTCTTGCTTGTATTCTCCAAACTAGCTTTGGCAAGCTCCAGGATAATATTCCTGGTTAAACAGGTTTACAGCAGAAAGCATTTTTTCACCTCAGGATGATAGTTTGCTGGTTTTGCTTAAACTCTTTTAGGTTGGAGAGACCATTGGTATTAGCGAAGAAATCATGGGATTGACTATTCTAGCTGCTGGCACATCAATTCCTGACCTTATTACCAGTGTTATTGTAGCACGCAAAGGCCTGGGGGACATGGCTGTATCCAGTTCTGTTGGAAGCAACATATTTGACATCACAGTGGGGTAAGTCCTACAGCAAGAAAATTGTGTCTTTTTTAACAAGTTTTGTGTTCTTAGCATTGTGTTTACCACGGTGTTGCCTACGACAGTTTTCTGCCGTTGATGCTTAAAAAGGAGAAAGATGCAAATACGCAATGGATGTCACTGTTTCAAGTGGTCAGTTTATAGATATTTGCATGACAGAATTATTACACATTTGTTGACTGATTCTCTCTTTGATGCATCGCAGAGCTCCCTAGGCAAGTGAATTCCTCTTTAAAAACTTTACAAGAGCATTATTCCAAGAAGGAATTTCTGAAGCTGTTGTTTGTTACCACTCATTGTGCTTACACTAGAACTTTCTTTATCATTATAATGATGATCAGGAATGATTAATTGCCTCTGCAGTATCCCGTATGTTTGCTGTAATTCAAACAGAACGTTATTGTCTTGTGGAGCTCGTTTAGCCTGTTGTTGACATGTGGGGTTTTTTAACATACCTGGCAAGTCCCAAATTACAAACCAATTCTCTGTTAACACAAAGGATCTTGTATAGCCTTGAGAATGTAAAGCAAGATAAGATTATGCAGAAATATGCTATTTACACTTTACCGCTTCTCGGTAGCTCTGGTTATGATGTATGGCATGCGGTTGGAATTCAAATTCCTTTTTGACCTTTTGAAACCAAGCTAGATCAGGTGCAGAGATGTTGTAATCTATGCCTCAGTGTTTCAAAAATGGGCAGGAAATATACAGACCTGCATTCACTACCATGTTCTTCAACTTAGAGCATGTAGGGTGCATTACAAAACTTTTTTCACAATGCTTTCTTACTTTTCTTAAAATGTTTATAGTCTCCCTGCCAGTGCAAATGTTGTTGTGCTGTACCAGTCTGCTAGACCTGGTATGTTTACAACACAAACAGCACAGTTGAGCTGTAGGCTGGTGTAGTTGGTACTGAGGCTGTAATAAATTATTCTCTCTTGAGCTGCTTATTCAAAGTTTGGATGTTGTGAGCTTCTCACAGCTCTCTTCGTGCTTTCTAAGCCTGCTAAGCTCCGATCAGTGGCTTAAATACTTTTTTCAACTTGGCATCCTCCAGAGGGATGTTGCCTTTCTGTGGCATCAGAGATGAGAAGTGCAGTGACAGCAAATACAGAAGGAGAAATTAAGCCTAAGTTCAGTTGAAGTTCACATTTTAACACAATTTTATACAGTAAATATGTAGGGTTTATACAGTAAATATGAAGGGTCTTTAGGGCCAAATTCTGGGGGCAGTGCCTTGCAGTGTGCTGTTTCTTCGTGGCAAGGACATGTCTCTATGTCACCCACTCTCCAGTTGCGTAGGCTCTTGGAAAGAGAGTGGAAGTAGACTCTTCCGCAGATGTTCTGAATCCGGAAACAAACGAAAGGGGTCTTCCTGCTCACAGACAACGTGCCAGGTTCTTTGTCAGCCAAGGGAAATACAGTTCACCAGTGTAACTGCTGGAAGAGTAGGGATCCTAAGTCCCAACAGCCAGGAGCAAGCTGGCAAGTTTATTGTACAGATATGTACAGATGTATGTACAGGTTACAAGACTTGAAACACTTCCTGCCTCCCTTCATGCAGGAAAAAAAAATGTATTTCGAAGCGCCTCCAGAAACTTTCTACTGCCCCTTTCTGCACCTCTGCAATGTTTCCAATTTATTTTTCTGTTTCTTAACAGCCTTCCTCTTCCGTGGCTCCTGTATGCTGTGATTAACAGCTTTGCCCCGGTGACAGTCAGCAGCAATGGTCTGTTCTGTGCGATCGTCCTCCTCTTCATCATGCTGCTATTTGTCATCCTCTCCATCGCTTTCTGCAAGTGGAGGATGAATAAAATCCTGGGCTTTTTCATGTTTGGGCTTTATTTTGTGTTCCTGATTGTCAGTGTCCTCCTGGAGGACAAAGTGATCCAGTGTCCTGTCTCCATCTAGTGGAAAGTGCTGTTTCTCCAGGGAAAAAAAATACATATAT